CCTCCAACATGTTCTTAACGATGGATGAAGCTTCGTCTTGCTTTGCGTAAGGAAGTCATCTGGGTGATTGACGTATGTGCTTGGCATCACCAGTATCGATGATATGTTGAACTGAATCCGTTCGATCAATGATTTTGCCTTTCACAAGCATATCGTAATTTTCCTCTACGAATCGGGTGGCCTTGCATAGATCTTCTTCAGACAGATGGCTCTACGTCTTCTTAAAAGAGCCAATGAGTTCGTTTGCGGATTTTTGAACACGTTGTAGAGGAACTCCTTTTTCGATTCTGACGATTTTCACGATCGGTTCGCAGGTGCCTATTACTTGCCCTTTATTGAGAGTTACCCTGTTATTATTAGGATTGATTATTCTTACTGGAATGGACTTACTGTTACCATTTACGAAAGATATGGTCCCGGAAATTCCTGCTTCAGATTCGTTGGATGGCTCTTTCAATGCTATGCCCAAGCCGCCAGATCAAGCAAATTTCACTCGAAAGATTTTCTCAGTGTTGGGAGAGATTCTGGAATCTTCCTGTATAACCACCTTGGGCTGTCATGAGGCTGTCATGTCACGTCGAGCAAAACTTCCTCGGACTTTAAACAGTTTGTTTCTTATGTCCACCACTAATCCGTAGGGGGAAATGATGTCTAGTCCTAAAATGAATTCGTCACCGTTGGTGTTTACTAATAGCTTGATTTCACAATTTCCAAGCCTCAGTCCCACTTCACACTATCAATCTACCTCCACTGGCTGTTACTAGAACAGGTACTAATGATAATTTCTTCAAACTGTTTCTTTTGAAAATGTCGGCTCTCATTACTGACCTCGTTGCTCCAGTATTGATGGTGAAAAGGCACTGATGATTATTCAGAAATCCGTCGACAACTAAGCTGGAAATCGTATACCTGGGGGCTTGGGATGCAGCAGTCAATGTACCCCTCTAGCTAGGGTGAACTCGAATGCCAGTCTCTTCTTTCGTGTATGTTGAATGAGATCGACAGTCCCGCCTGTGTGCAGTTCCCTTCATAAAATGCTTCTTAAAAAGTATATCTAGACCTACCATGAGTCGATCTGTTCTTTTGTCTTCCTTTTCACTGATGGCCCTCACTAAAACTTTCCGCTGTTGTCGCAAACTCTAATCCGAGTGTAGTTCTTGGGGTACTCCGTACCTGGCAATTACGTTCTGCAACAGGGCTTTTGCCACCGTTTCAGCCTCTTGGTTGGATAAGACTACTATTTCAGGTAATTTGAAAAAATAGCCATGAGTCGATCTGTTCTTTTGTCTTCCTTTTCACTGATGGCCCTTACTAAAACTTTCCGCTGTTGTCGCAAACCATTTTTTGTAGCTTCAAATTCTAGGGCATAAATGATGCCTTCATTCAATTTTTTATGATCGCCCATCGAGACAGTCAAGTGGAAGTGACAGTGCGGTACGCGAAGCGATCTTGTAAGGCAATAGATATTCGAATAATAGTTGAAGTTTAAGTTGAAGTGTTTGTTCTATTTAAAGTGAGATAAAATTAAGTTTGATCATTGTTCAGTGTAGNGTCAAGTGGTAAATATTCCGAATATCATTGGTTTACTTTGAGAAATGTGGATAATTATCCCAACGCTGCATTATTCTCTGTGGAACATACTCGTGATTTGTTGCACGAGTGAAGTAGATAGATGGAAACATGATCACCCTTCTTGTCTGAGATTTCCGGCAAATTCATAATCACCATCATTTTACAGGGCGACCAACTAAATGCCATAAATAATTTATTAAGTAATTTTCTCGAATCTAGCAATTCATCGCAGTATAAATTTATTCACAATAATTATGGGAGAATACCCGACCTCATACTGTTCTGTGGCAGTATTGAGTGTCGTGTCGAGAAATCATCGGATTCACTAGAAACAGAAGACAAACATCACCCTGCCTTGAATATATACTACAAATCGAAGAGCATACGTAATTTGAAAAGAAACTTCGCTACCTCTTATAATAATGAGTACAGCTTTAGAAAAGCAAACTATCCGCGTATGTACGAACTTATCGCAAGTATTGACTGGATCACTCTTGAAGTTTTTGATAGGTCAAATGATGCTTGCACTTATTTTTACTGGAAAATCTTTAACATACTGGATCAATACCCTTACGAACTGGTAACTACAAGCGTAAATATCCATGGTGGTTCGACAATGAAATTATTCAGCAAATTCATATAAAGGCTGAGTATTGGCGTCTATTTAGAAGCAGCCATGATGTTGGTGTCCGGAAACAATTTGTGCCTCTGAGGGCAAAGGTAAAGTCGGACGTGGACAACGCGTACAAAAAATTTGGCAAATCCGCTTAACATGACATCAAAGACAATCCAAATGAATTTTGTGCATATATAAATAGCAAAAAAGGTTCTACCAGTATTTCGGACAGAATGTCCTACGAAGGACAATCTATAGATACTCCTTCAGATATTTTTAATAGCTTTGCTGATTTTTTTCTCAAAATTATATATCACCAGCTCTCCAACCGATTAGCATGACGGTATAGAGGAGACAAAGTACACTCATCAGAAAACATAACGTCTTCTATCTTCTATCAAAATCGTATTCCATGAGCTCCTGAATAGGTATAATTTTATAGAGATGCATTTTATTTTATTTTATCATGTGTACTATCGATGTATGACTAACATTGAATGTAGTGGATGCCTGTCTACTCGATGTATGTGGGTTTTCCACAAACTCAAGCATCACATCTAATTTGAGTTCATCATTCGTTGCATTGGCAGCTGCTTTTTTGTCTGTCACACATGACCAAGCTCGTGAAACTGCTTTTCTATTTTACTTATTGCTCCTTGAGATATGGGTGGTTAATTAGGAAATTTCTCATGAAATAGGCGAGCTACTTCTCGTTGTGTTCGGGTTTTATCTCCGTAACCAATCATTTGTAAAACTATTATTTCATGATTTTCCGTTAAACTAACTATTTGTCAGACTTGAACTTAACGAACTTTAAACTTGATTTAAAATACTGAAAATCAATGTTGTAACATACAAAACAAAATGACAAAGCGTTTGCCACGGAAATTATTTGCAGTTTTTTAAAAAATATCATCTAAAAAGAACATTGCTATGGTTTTTACTTACTTTCTTATTATTAATACCTCAACATGAAATATGTTTTAAGTATATTGCAATAAGTTTTCAGTGTATTTTATTATTGTTACAATAAACTTGAATGCGATAACATTTTTGAATAGAGAATGAAGAGACCTCTGAAACATATGACAACTCCCATTTGAAAATTGGGGGTTGTACCTGTCATTCGACACGAGGTGAAGTATGTCAAATTATAATTTGAATTTGACGTTTTAAGGGATTTTGTTAAAATATGTACCGTAACCGAAATGATGAATGTATTCCATTTGTCTTCTACACACTGTATATAAGGTCTACCATTTCGACGAGAATCAATTTTTGAAATTTATTTCTTTGTATACATCCCGAGATATTAGAGATGAATCAGGATATATAAACCTCTGAGAAAGCTAGCCACTCGCGCCAGCGAAACGTCAGGAAGAAATTCCAAAAATCGACGGCCTCAAAAACCAAAAAATAGTGATATATATATAGATAATGAAACCTTCGATAATTGAGAAATTATTTC